CATGATTTGCCACTGGGCACCAAGAAAAAAAGAGACAATTCCCTCATATTTTCTCTCTTCTGTTCAATTGGCAACTTTGTGAATTTTTTACTCTATATATTATCAGAACAGGCTTCATTACAGCAATTACATTTTGATTTTTTTTCTGATGAAGCAGTATTTGGAAATACTGTACAACTGAACTGTTAATCATGTTCCTCTACAGATGCATCTACTTCCACCATACTAGCTTCTACTCTGGGCCTTTGCAGAAATGATTGCTGCTGATTGAAATTCTAAGTTTAGTTTAAACTTCAAGGACAGAACTCTCAAGTACATTACAGTATATTTAATGGCTGCTTTGGTACTGTGTGCCACCAATCTTTCAAAGTTTAACAGGAAAATTCAAATGAAATTCTCAATCCCCCCATGGGACCACTCTCAAACACATTGAAGTTTTCCATTGCACTTGCAAAGCTAAAAGGAGCTTCTTTTTAACTACATCTGTTGAAATGGGTGAGCCCAGGTCTTGCTATTGATTAGTTTCTCTCAAAGTCCTTACAATGGAACCAAGTTTATTTCTAATTACAGTGAGACCCCAAGATGTGGACATAATTTGTGCTGGAACAGTGTCCAGCATGTTTGACCTCATTTTCCCCATAGACTTCAATGGTAACTCATTTAATTGGTTCTCCAGTTCATAGAAAATTAGGAATAAATCCCAAAACAAAACAATTAAAATGGGTTTCTCAACTCACACATACAGAATACAACTATCCAGAATAAAGAAACCCACACAGAATATGATCCTCTAGCATGAAATGGACTCAAAAAATACAAATAAAAAGTATAAGTCTTGCTATCCTGCAAAGAATTCTAAAAAAATATGCACAAAACCTTTTTTGATTATAAATTCAAGTAGGTATGTAATGATATTCAGTTTTAACTTCTGAGAAGATAAATGGCACATTTTGTTCAAGAGACATACAACTTTTGAAAAATTAAAAATTTTAAGTTTTCTAGAAATGCCAAGAAAGTGTTATGTTGAAGTATTCTCAGGATGTTTGGCCATATTTTTTGAATTTTCAAATGTCCCCAAGTCACACTGTCTCTATGTCAGGGTGTCTGCATTTTGGGGTCTCATTGTATTGTTTTCCAAATCCTTTAATAGTAATACTGGAATGCAGGAAACAATGCCACACAAGTTTTTTTTAGAGAATATATTTATGTATGTATTTGTGTATGTATGTATGTATTTATTTTTTATATTTTCGTGGAAATGTTCGGCACAATTTAAATAAAATGTTGGGTTTTTCTGACCTCGTCTCAGCAGATCAAACCATGTTTTCACTGATCTATGTGCATGTTGGTTCATATTTCTAATATATCCATCCTCCACCACAGAAGGGTTAAAAGCCAGCAAGAAAAGTTTCAAAAGTGCAAGTTTTGAATCATAACTGGCAGTTGCATGTCCCAAAAATTAGATTAACTATTTTTCCAGGATCAGATTATAAATTGCTATAACAATTTTATCAAAATTCCTTAACTGCCACTTGCAGAGTTGTTGAATAATTCAACAATTACAAATGTTTTGACAAACCTCATGGGAGCCTCTTGTAAGTGATATTTACACTCATAAGACCAAGTCAAATAGCACAGGAGAATTTCCCAATTTCCTGTCTCATGCATACGCCCGTGGAATTTTCACATAATTGTAATTTTTATCATTCAGGTTGTTGATCCAAACCCGTGCATGGCATAAAATCAGGCGTTAACAGACTTGTTTGAAAAGAAAAGAAAATACCCAACACAAGAAGGTTCATTTCGTCCTCAACACATCCCATAAAATGTCATCAAACACACGTTCCTTCTACAAATGCTACGCAGTTCAGCAGCACAATCGATGAAAAAACAAAC